CTAATGCAGTATATATATTTTTTTATTTTATAATGAACTTATTACACTAAAAAAAATAATCTAATTTATAGCAGAATGGAGTTACTTAAGCTGCACTTGTTTTTTTGCCTTGATTTGCCTCCATTACCCTCAGCATTGTACACTGACCATTGAGTGACAATATTTATATTTGAAAAAATCTTTTCATTTACAGCTTTTAAATGAAACTTTTATTTTCAGTCTGCTTTTTATTAGTTCAGAAATAAAACAAACAAACATAACAAGCTACATTACACTAGACATTATGATCTCTGTTTAAGGTATTAGCTTAACCCTCTCACTTCTCATATGGGATGGAGGGCCAACTCAAAGGTTACCATGAGCCAACTTTGGCCCGTGGGCCATAGTTTGGACTTCTGTGGACTAAGCCAAAGGTAAAAAAATGAATGAAGGAAATCAAAATATTGGTCCCACTTTACTTTAAGGTACAATTCTTCCTTTTAATAAACCCTTAACTCTGGCTTTTGCTTGAATAGACTCTTAATTTGATGTTCATTAATAGTAGTAGTAGTAGGGTTTAGGTATCAGATTAGGGACATAGAATACGATCATGCAGAATAAGTAATAATTAAGCCAATATCTAAATAATAATCAGATAATAAGAACTAGTTAATATTGAGAACTGGTAAAGTCAAGATTTCAGAAATTTCTTAAGGCTGCTGCAGCATCAGAATTCCAACCCCAGACTGTAAACTTTGTCCAGTTTGAAAACAAACACGCATATCGACTCACATCATCAACAAGCTCATATTGCAAAACAATCTCAAAAATGTGTTGACTGAAGCAAAAAGATGCTATCAAGGTGAAGCAAAATTCACCAGGATGTCTGCAAATGAGTCAGAAGCTGGTCACTAATTGAGTCAATGCCTTTTTTCACTTAGCATGCAGACATCGGGTTTTGATGGCGTTCGCCACCATGCCATCAAATCTGAAGGGGTGGCACTCAACGCTTATCTGTGACCTTAAGGTTTCAAAAGATGTTAATTGCGCAAATAGCCATTCATTTCCCTCTAATGCTTATCATAGGGTGAAATCACAGTTATCACATATCTGCTGAATGTATTTGAAGGCTTATACGACCTTCAGACAGACTTCTGTCAAGGCTCATTTGAATTTGCTGTGGCTAAAGACTGGCGCAAACATCAAACGGGACAGAAATTGGACAATTATTAGAGCGCAAATGAAGCGTATTCACATTTCACTTTAAGAGTCTTAACATTTCTAAATATAAAGCTAATAAAGTTTCAAATCAAAACTGGGAAAATGTTGGTTTCAGATATTTAATACTTTATTGGTGTAAAAATACAGAAGCAATATCAAAGTCCTCAGTTGATTGTTTATGTAGCAAATCATGGTTAATGTGTGGTAACCAAGATTTAACATAAGGGTAAAGGTGTAAATATTCTTAAAGTAACACTTTAGTTTAAGTACCAATTCTCACTATTAACTAGTGGCTTCTTGCCTGCCTATTTTTAAGATATTGCCTGTTTATTTCATAAATGCAAAGTGAATATTTAGAGCCCTGCATTTGAGCCCATCAGAGCCAATTTTCACGTCATATCTAGCACGCATATCGGGCTTTGGGCCTGCTTTATTAAAAAACTGTAAAAAAAATAAATGGCATCTAATGCATGCGGTCCGAAAGTGACAGTGATGCCTCACGTATAGAGATTTTCAGCCACATGAAACTGAAAAACGCTAGAGAAAAGGCAATCTTCTGGTCAACTTTTCAAATAGTGACAACTTTAAATAATGAGCCAACTGGTTATGTGCAATGCACAACTTGTAAGTCCAGGGGCACCTGCTTTGCACCTTATCCATTACTCTTATTTCAAGCTCAAGAAACACTGATGCTTGCTGTCAAAGACTACATTATTTAAAGAGATTAGTTATGACATCATTAGTTTTTATATATATATATATATATATATATATATATATATATATATATATATATATATATATATATATATATATATATATATATATATATATATATTAGATTAGATTAGATTCAACTTTATTGTCATTACAAATGTACAAGTACAATGCAACTAGGTACAATGCAGTTTAGGTCTAACCAGCAGTGCAATAGTAGCAAGTGCAGTTATAGAAAAACTATGGTGATATTTACAGATGGATGTACTATGATCATTATATACAGGTTGGATAAGCTATGAGCAGATTTACAATATATGAATATATGTGCAGGTTGCTATTAATAATCAGTAGTGTGCAGATAAATGCATATATATATATATATTTTTTATTTTATTTTTTTTTATTTTTTGATGGTCTCTTATGTACTAGATAAAATAGAAGAGCAAATAACATTTGAGGTAAAGTGCTTCAAAACAAGTCCACTATATGCTTCAGCGCCAAAACATGAACTGGATCATCAGATAAAATAATAATCTAGCCTAAATAAAATTTAAGTGAAATATTCATTATTTCAGAGAAGATTTAATTAAGCTGTTTTCCCTGTTAGTTAAAAAATCATCTATTTCGCCAGTCAATCATAATTTAATTCATGAGCAGGACAGGTGTTTACAAAGCATTTGCAGCAGTACGTGTTCCCAGATTACCTCGGAAGAACAAACTCAAAGTTGAAGTGTAAGAGAACTCAGAAACTAGCTGTGTGAGGGAGGATGTCTGCTTATTTATGCCAGTCTGTCAGATAAAATTGTTCAAAACTCTTTGAATGGAATAGCGGTTCCATGCGAGGAGGCTGTGCATGACAGGCTGGGCCTGGACTTTCCCCGACTCAGGTGCTGATGAGACTGCGGTCTTCGCTCTGTGTGGGGGATTAGTACTTGTCTCATTAGTTTTAGGCCTTTTGGCAAATGTCTCAATTACTTTTATCTGTTTTAAAGAGGGTTTACTCATTTTGAACCTTGTTTTAAACAATAGCTAGCTAAATTGTAATTTTTAGTGTGCGGAAAAACTGCCAGCAAAACTAAAGCCAATAGATTTCTTTAACCATCTCCCACCATGCAAGTAGATACACACAAACGCTGTCTTGCTTTTTCAATATACCGTAGTACAGGGGTGCTCAATCCTGTTCCTGGAGATCTACCTTCCTGCAGATTTCAGCTGCTACCCATATCGAACACACCTGCCTGTAATTATCAAGTGGTGTTTAGGTCCTAAATAACTGGTTCAGGTGTGTTTGATATGGGTAGCAACTGAAATCTGCAAGAAGGTAGATCTCCAGGAACAGGATTGAGTACCCCTGCCGTAGTGTATACTGTTAAATAATCAATTTAAGTTATGTAATAAGTAAATAAGTAAATAAATTAAAAAGTAGCAAAAATTTGGTTACATTGAGTAAACTCACTATGGACCACATACCGCTTGGATATCGATTTCACTTGAACTAAATCTTACATTTAAAAAAAACGAACATTTTTCTAAATTATTCTGATAAAAAAAACTAAACAAAAAAACATCAACTATTCATTTATTAATTTTCTTTTTGGCTAAGTCCCTTTATTTATTTGGGGTCGCCACAGCAGAATGAACCACCAACTTATGCATCATGTGTTTTACGCCGCGGATGCCTTTCCAGCTGCACCCCATCTCTGGGAAACATCCATTCACACTCATAAAATACGGACAATTTAGCCTACCCAATTCACCTGTACCGCATGTCTTTGGACTGTGGGGTAAACTGGAGCACCCGGAGGAAACCCACACGAACACAGGAAGAACATTTAAACTCCACACAGAAACACTAACTGACCCAGCCGAGGCTCGAACCAGCAACTGTGAGGTGACAGCACTACCTACTTCGCTACCACATCGCCCACATCAACTATTGTATTTAACATATTTCTATTAAATACAAATCTGGTCTATTTTAATGGCAGTAACAGTATAAGCTGTTTGGCGGGAAAAAAGGGGGTTTTGGGTTGGACTAGGGCCAAAACTTTTGATAAGCTGTTGGGCAAGGCCCGGGCTAGGGTTTAGATTTAAGGCTTATTCAGGGCTCTACTAATATTCTTTATTATCTTGTTTTATATCACTGATCTACCCTAATAACTATTAACAAAGAGCAAATTAGTGGAAACCGTTATGGTTTGTTAATAGTAAGAACTGCACATGGTGTCTCATTGGTCTCACAGCAAAAAGGTCGCTGGTTGAAGTCCTGGCTGGGTCACTTGGCGTTTCTGTGAGAAGTTTGCATGTTCTCTCTGTGTTCATGTGGGTTTACTCAAGGTGCTCCGGTTTCCCCCACAATCCAAAGACATGTGCTAGGTGAACTGAATAAACTAAATTGGCCTTGAGTATGTGTGTGAATGAGTTTGTGTGGATTTTTCTCAGTACTGGGTTGCAGCTGGAAGGACATCCACTGTTTCAAACATATGCTGGATAACTTAAGTGACTCCTCATGAATAAAATAAACTAAGCTAAAGGAAAATGAATAAATGAATCATATCTGTACTGAAACTGTGAGAAAACAAAGGCTATCAATGACATATTGAGATGTTTTAAAACAATAATGACTATTTTTAGTGCTTCAGTTTCATTCTCAAAGAGGACATGACCCTATGTCATTCATTGAGAACTGTGAATTCAGAAACACAGACTTCCTGAATGGATTGATAGCTGGAAATCCCTGGTTTGCACAATATCTGTTGTCATTTCCACCAGTTTTACAAGTTTAGTGAGATTTGCTGATCTTATCTCCTGAGCTCATCACTCGCAAACACAAAGCCACTATAGACAAAATTATAACTTAAAAACTAAACAAAAATGCTGACTCACATCCTTTGCACAAAATGCACTCAGCAGCAGTTATACTATACATGTGTGAGTGTGTGTGTCCAACATGGAAATTCCAGTAGGGCGAAAACCTTTGTAACCATTACAAACCAAAAAGGAGAAGCACAGATGCATGTTTTTATTGAGTAAACAGCTGTTCGGTACACACACTGTTTCACACTTGTGTCTCTAGCAGCTGTTTCAGTGGCATTAATAAGAAATCATTTGTTTTTGTGCTAACAGTGTCGCCTGACTCCACCTTTCCCCTCATCATCCTGATGGCTTGCGTTGAGCTTTTTGACTTCATCAGAGCACGTCCTGCTAATCTACCACAAGGAAAGAAACACCTGTCGACGCTGTACCAAGACATGCGTATGCTCCTGAAATTAACATCCCAACAAATGAACGCAGTAAGAATAACCTTGCTTTTTATGCTCATTTTAGTAGAAAAAGTCATTTTGAGGGCTAGTTTTCCCAAAAATTACAACCTTGAGAGATTCCATGCCTTTATAAGTTTCTTTATTCTGTTGAAATGAAAAGAAGATATTTTGAAGAATGTTGGAAAGCATGTAATTATTGACATCCATAGAAGAAATCAAATACTATGGAAGTCAATGGTTACAGGTTTTCGACGTTGCTCAGAATATTTTCTGCTCAACAGAAGAAACTCAAGTGAAGAGTGAGTAAATAATGACAGAATTTTCATTCTTGAGTGGACTATCTCTTTAAACTTGTTATTTGTCTTACAAAACTCCCATTTTTATTTTTCAGAATGAGTTGACTGACTTTGAACATTCGCTATCATCCCTGCCCTCACTGAACTACAGCGTAAAAGACCTGCATTCACTTGAGGTAGCACATCCACATCTCTGCCTGTAATCTTCATATCTGCCATGTCTTCTCACTGATAAACACAACTTGTATCTTCCCTACCAATATGCCATAGTGGGTCTGAAATGGAACAAACATATAGACTTGAAACTTATAGACTTGATTGATATGAAAATATGATTGGATAGTGCTTTTTTTTTCATCAAACTATACTGTAACATGTTTGACTACAACTGACAAGTCTATTTTCGCATAACAAAAGAAGACAGCTACTCTTAAGCAAAACATACATTTTTTCATAAGTCAGGATACTAAAAATAACGCTGGTGAACTATATTATAATGTAGCTTGTTTTGAAAATTGTCAATTGTAACATGCGATCTGTTTTGGCCCACAGGTGAGCAGTACCTTGGCACAGCTGTACTCTGGTCTTAAATCTTTCAAGTTCCATCTTGATTGGGTCCAACGGAATAGTGACGAATTGGGGAACGATTACTCAAAAACAAAGAAGATTGTTCATCTTATCCAAGCTATCATCCAGAAGGTGCTCCAAGAGGTAACAACTGTGCTGTCTGTCACCTACAAATAGTCATTTATTTTTAAAATGTTTTTTTTTTTTTTATTCACTCACCGGCCACTTTATTAGGTACACCTTACTAGTACTGGGTTTAAATATTTCTCAGAGATTTTGGTCCATACTGACATGAGAGCATCATGCAGTTGCTGCAGACTTGTCGTCTGCACATCCCTGATGTGACTCTCCCGTTCCACCACATCCCTAAGGTGCCCTATTGGATTGAGTCTGGTAACTGTGGAGGCCATTTGAGTACAGTGAACTCATTGTCATGTTCAAGAAACCAGTCTTAGATGATTCGCGCTTTATGACAGGGCATTATCCTGCTGGAAGTAGCCATCTGTGGTCATAAAGGGATGGACATAGTCAGCACCAACACTCAAGTAGGCTGTGGCGTTGACATGCTCAATTGGTACTAATGGGCCCAAATTGTGCCAAGAATATATCCCCCACATCATTACACCACCACCACCAGGCAACAAGGCATTTGCGCCCACAGAACTGCCGCTCACTGGATATTTTCTTTTTTTCGGACCATTCTTTGTAAACCCTAGAGATGGTTGTGCATGAAAATCCCAGTAGATCTGTTGAGTAGATCTGAAATACTCAGACCAGCCCATCTGGCACTAACAAATGCTACATCAAAAGTCACTTAAATCAGATTTCTTCCCCATTCTGATGCTCGATTTAACTGCAGCAGATTGTCTTGCCCATGTCGACATCCCTAAATGCATGGAGTTGCTGCCATGTGATTGGCTGATTAGAAATTTGCTTTAATGAGCAGTCGGACAGGTGTACCTAATAAAGTGGCCGGTGAGTGTATATTGTTATTTACAACACTTGAACACTTCATGTGATTTGAGGTGACAATATAAAGGGGAAAATATAGAACAAACGAAACAGTTTAACATAAATCTGTCTGACAGATTGCGAAAATGAAATAAGTGAGCCTATAAAACTGTGATTAAACAGCAATCTAACTTTCCTTACAGCTCGGACAGACAGCACCCGAGATCGTCCATCCCACATTGCCTCCTCTGGAAACCTTCTGGCAGCTGTACCAGACCAATGCAGAGATTCATAAAAAACTGTTGATCTTCTGTGACTATTACACCAGAGCACTTGGATCCCTGAAGCGCAAACACCCTGATACACCATCATAAGACACCAGTAGCCGTCAGCCAATCTTTATGGTGCCAGTAAACAAGAGCTGAGGTAAAAAACAAAACAAAAAAAACAAACAAAAACAAAACAAACTTAAAGCCTCATGGTCGTATCGTTTGACTTGCCTTAACATTTGAAGGGATGGATTTTTATCCTTTTTTTAGTTCCAATTAACATTTCCTATGTATGTTGTTTTATACTTAATTGATAAGTTATATATGTAATATTTATTGGAGTTTTTTGTTTACAATGAAGGCTATTTTATACATAGAGTGAATGATAAAAAAGCACTTTATAAAAATACAGTGTTGTAAATCAGCTGCAGGCAGTTGCTAGAGATAACCAATAGGTGTCGCTATGAAACAGATTATGAGTAGAATTTAAGGGATAGTTCACCTCAAAATGTAAATATTGTCATCGTTTCCTCACCCTTTACGTTTGAGTTTGTATCTTGTATTGTACACAACAGAAGATGTTTTGTGGAAAGCTGTAAACCCGTAACCTGTAAGAATTTGTTTTTCCTTCACTGGAAGTCAGCGGTTACAGGTTTTAAGCTTGGTTAATTTTCTTTTGTGTTCAACAGAAAAAACTCATAAATCTTTGGAACTACTTGACAATGAGTAAATATTGAATACATTTTCATTTTGGTGTGAAATATCCCTTTAAATGTGACTAACTTTTGTTAAATGATAGTCATTTTAGCAGGAAGTTTTGAATCAACTTGAATGGGATTTGGGTTTATTTAAAGTTTTGACCACCACTTAAAAAATAAATGAAGAAACCACTTAAAATGTTTCATTTTCTATGGATTTATAGTTATGTGTTTGAGGAATACATCGTTTTGTGTTTATTCTGTAAGCTACTGATGATATTTCTTATGAATTTAGAATCAAATGTTGCCATTTAGAGCTTAAATTGCATAAAATAAACGCATTTTTATATACATTTTCTTAAGAAATCGTTCAAGAAGCAAATCAAAACTCTTGCTGTTCTTACCTAAGACTAAAACGCTCTTAATGACAATATCGTTGCTTAAAATTTTGATGAAATATAATCAGACTTTTATAGAATAAAACCAACATTACAATTTTACTCAAACCCACACCAAATAAATCCAGATTAACTGAGAATTACAAGTTAGATTAGTTTTTTGACTAGTGAATGAAGTGATCCAGTAACACAGCCTGCTTGTCAAAACCATGATAAAAACTGGGCATTCAATATAAAACCCATTCCAAAGTTCCATGAGGGCTAATGGATGTTATTGCTGCTGCACCTTGGGTTTGTGTGAACAGACTGAAAATACAATTTAGCTTAAAATGCACTCAACTGCCTTTAAACCATATTAATTCTCTGTGATTGCATGTTTAGTCTATAAAAAGCAACATAAGTGCTGTCATATTGCAGAGATGCACTGAAAAAAGAGGCCTTACAACACTTGAAGATCATGAACAAAGTCCATTCAGAATACAATAAATGAAGCTGTCTAATTAATCAACAATCATTCATCAGTTTAATTCAGGTCAAGGAAACTACATAAAACACTCCAATCTGATTTGCATTTATATGAGATGATGAGATGGATGATGGATGTAGAAGTTTTAATAGGGTCCTGGATGTTATTTTAAATTGTTCATACTTTTTATACATATTTATTTTTGTATTTATATCAGTTATTTAATGCCTATTTAATTGTTTTAATGTCATGTTTGTGTCCTTGTTACTTTGAATAAAATGTATTTTACATCAAACTGCTTTTTTAACTTGAACTGCATCAGTAACAACTGAGCCTTTATTAAATCAATAATGAAACTATCGTCACAATGCAACATTCTGAACTGTATCAAATGAGTTATATTTGGATTTGTAAGTGTGTCATCAGTATAAACTTGTACAGGTTTATATATAAATTTCCCAATTGTCCCTCTTTGTCTGATTGAGCATTTGCACTGATAACTCAACTGTTCAAATTGCCAGCAATAGTGTAATCAACCATGACAGTCAAAATCTTTGTCATGATGACTAATATCAAGCTGCAGAATGGGAAACAGGACATGGATACTCTCACCAGCCAGTTAATTAAACACACATTGCTAGAACTCAAGATACTTCCGGATGTCCTCTAATAGAATGTCACAGATTCAACAAAGCGATGGAAACATTTCCTCAGGGATTTAGGTCTGTATTGATATTGCATGACAGTTGTATGGAACAAAAATAATGCCAAAAGTATTTAAAATACATTGTTAAATAGCAATAACTAGAAAAATAGCGTATTGAATTAACAAGTGCTGGCATTTTAATGACTTGAATTAACAGGGTTTTATTTTTAGCTCTTGAACTGTAACTTATGGCTCGTTTACAATGACTTTATCAGGCTTGCATTTCCACTCCCAAGGGTACCGTTTTGGTGGATGTGGTGTATGGCAAAAAGTTTCAATTGACGTCATTTTTGCTCGAAAAAATGCCTAAAGTAAAGCTGTATAGGTCCTTGCATATTATATGAGAAGCACTTTCCACTAAACAGATGCTTTATACACATAAATACTTGTGTATAAATGTTTATTACTAACTTTTCTATGAACATGAGTTGATGATAACTGCAGATCAATGACAGTGTGAAATAGCCTACTGTAACATCTGCAATTATATATAATAAATAAATAAATGCAACATATATGAACACATACAGACCCTTACAGTCTCCAATATGTTACCAACTACAGAAGAACTGCACACAGCATACATTTAGTCCTTATTTAGGTTCAAAAACAACACAAAATTAAGCCCAAAGTCAGTGCAAACCTCTCATCTGTGTCTGTAATCTTCAGTAGCACATGTAACCTCTGTTAGAGAGTAATTCCATAATTCTGAGTTCATAATAGTCCAAAAGGTGATAATAATAGTTAAACATGGCAGTTTGTTTACGTTTGCTAAAAAATGATATGCTCCTTTTTGTCCGGCTTCTCCTTTGTTTTTTCACCCTTCACTCTTGCGTTTGTCAGTTTCTGACAGGATCGGGTTTCAAAAGCACTTCAATAATCAGGCACACATTATTATCATCAGCTCAAAAAGTTTTTTATTTTACATAAAGATGCGCGGCGAGCACAAGCAAAAAAGCGAAACCGCTCGCGTTTCAGACTGGCTCGTAAAAAACTACAGGGCACGGTAAATCTGCTCTTCTTTTTGATTTTGTGGCTGTTCATCAAGATGATGACAAGGTTTGTTTTAGCTCGAGTTGACCATGGCTCGTTATTATATATGTATATATAATTACGCTGTTATCTCTGCTCTTCGGCTGTGTATTTTAAACATGGCGGTTCCTTTGTTTTCATTCTGGCTTGTTGCGTAAGCAAATGACGTATCTCTGTAAACCAATAGCGTTCAGCTGCACGTCTAGCTCCGCCTTTTGGTACCCTTTCAAAAGGATGTCGAAAAAGTGGTACGGTATG